ATTTCAAATAGTTAATTTGATACTAATATCGATATATTTTTGTCAAATTTTTATGATATCTTCAAACATATATTTTATTCAAAAATAAAAACATCATCAATTTCTCAAAATCACATAAAGCCATATTACAACATCGACTGAGATAAATAATAAAATGAAATATTAAAATCACGATGTATCTCGCTGCATTGCGCGATTATGCTTCTAGTTATATTATAAAACATTTGACAAAAACTATTAAAAATCATTTTTTATGCATGAAGTACTGTATATTAATGCATATTACTTAAAATTCAAAATTACAAGTAAATTATGCATAAGTACAAATTATTAAAGCTGCGTGTTTGAATTTGTGTAACCAACTGCGGATAAACATAATCAATAGAGGATATACGTCTCATTTTAAAATATAAAAAATCTAAAATTTAATTAGGATAATTATCGAATTCTTACAAAATAATTAGTTATTGTCTTTATAAGAAAATTGTATTATTAAACCAAATATAAACTACTTTGAACCTAAATTAAATTATAATAAAAATATTGAATTAAAAAATTACACAAAAAAAAAAAGAATTTTAAATAGTTAATTTGATACTAATATCGATATGTTTTTTGTCAAATTTTAATGATATCTTTGAATTTATATTTTACTCAAAAACAAAAACATTATCGTTCTTTCAGAATCACCTAAGACCATATTATAACATCGACTGAGATAAAAAATAAAACAAAATATTAAAATCAAGATTTATCTCGCTGCATTGCGTAAGTACCTTTTTAGTAAATTATAAATTTGTTTTGTACTTCAAGGTTTATGTATTTAATCAAGATTTATCTCGCTGCATTTTGAAATTTATGTACGTTTTATTTTTATACTAGAAGAGTATTCGTGCAATGCAGCGAGATACATCTCGGTTTGAATGTTTCTTTTTATTTTGTCCCTTGTCGATGTTATAATACGGTTTTATGTGATTTTGAGAAAAACGATAATATTTTTATTTTTAAATAAAATACAAATTTGAAAATATCTTAAAATAAAAAAAAACATATCGATATTAGTATCAAATTAAGTATTTAAAAATTCTTGTTTTGTTGTGTAATTTCTTTAATTCAACTTTTTTTATTATTATAATTTAATTTAGATTTAATATGGAAGTAATTTATTTTTGATTTAATAGTATAATTTTTTATAAAGATAATAATTAAGTATTATGTTAGAAGACAATGATTATCCTAATTATATTTTTATATTTTTTATATTTAAAATGAAATGTTTATCCAGTACTTGATTATGTTTATCTGTAGTTAGTTACACGAATTCAAGTATGGAGATTCAATAAGTTGTACTTATGAATTATTTACTTGTAATCTTGAATTTTAAGTAATATGCATCAATAAACAGTAATTCATGTATAAAAAATAGTTTTTAAGAGTTTTTGTCAAATGCTTTATAATATAGTATAGATACATACTCACTCATTTTTATTGTTAAATTATTTGGTAATATGTTTACTTTATAAAGTATATTCTAAAATAATTTTTTTTAAATATATAATAATATAGAAGGACGTAATCAAATGAGAACTCAATATATTTTTTTCCATTTTTGACTTGACATTTAAGAAAAACAAAAAAAACATACACAACATTTAATGTATTGATAAATATATGTTTGTTTCGCAATATATTTGTTTCATATATATTCGGTCTACAACACGAAACTTTTTTTACATGTAACTTTTGTTTTACAAAAAATCTACAAAGATTTACATTGTGTAACAAATATACATTAATTATTATTCTAAATCATAGAACTGGATCAAAAAAATATCATATCAAACAACACATGATACACCAGTTCTTAATTTATAAATAAGCTTTCAAGAGAAGAATTTGTAAGCCTACTTTATTTGTACAAACCTCATTAACAAATCATAATTTTTCATTTCGTTTATTTTTTTGTAATTATAAGAGGTTGATTAATCGTTTTTATTGTGGAGAGTGTTAATCATAGATATTATCATCTTTATTATATTAATTTTAGAGAAATATATGAAACAGTTTCGTTAAAATTTCAAAAGTATTATGTGAAACAATTTCATAACCGTATATGAAACAACTTAATAAAAAAAAGTATTATATGAAACAATTTCATGAAAAGAATCATAAAATAAAACTATAAAATCATAAGCTTAAACAATAAAATCGAAGGATGAAAATAATTTGCACGGTTTGTACAAATATGGTTGGTTTACATTTGATCGCTTATATAAAACTAGAAGAGTACTCGCGCAATGCAGCGAGACACATCTCGATTTTAATGTTTTATTTTATTATTCGTCTCTGTTGATATACAATACGATTTTATGTGTTTTTAAGAAAATAATAATGATTTTATTTTTGAACAAAATATAAATTTGAATATATCATAAAAATTTGAAAAAAA